ACCCTATTCGCAAGGTTGATTACAATAAACTGGCAATAAGTGTGGACGTAGAGGAATTATATAGCATTCTAAACTGTGATCATGGTAATGAGGCAAACAATGTAGAGGACGCGTATCTGTACCTTTGTAATGCAATCAAGAACTCCTGCATCAAATCGCGCAAACGAAAATCTCGACCGTGGTTTGATAAAGAATGCTTTGAATTAAAGGTTAAAACGCGACGTTCATACGCTCGAATAAAGAAAAACAACAGTGAGAAACTGTTAGCTATTAATTCACAACTTGTAGCAGAATTCCAGCGCCTCAAGAGAAAGAAAAAACATAAATATCAGGAGGAGCAAATAATACGGATGATTGAAAAGGCTGAAGCCAGTATCAGCGAATTCTGGTCACTTTGGAGAACTAGAAAAACAAGGTCAGGTGGATCCCAGGTGTCCCCTGAAATGTGGTTTGATCACTTTAGTGCCTTATTGCATACTGACAATTTACCGATGTTGCCTTACTACGCAAATGTAGAGACAGATGATGATCCTTTTTCGTGGCCCATTGATGAGTCCGAAGTTTTAATTGCATTTGGTAGGGGGAAAGCGGGTAAAGCGGCCGGGCCGGACGGCATCACCTATGATGTTTTGAAAAACTGTAGTGAGATCTTAGTAACTCCAATAACTCAAATTTTAAACTTTTGTTTTCTAAACAGTTTTTGCCCATCTGAATGGCTGATTGGCTACTTGTTGCCAATATATAAGGACAAAAGATCGTTGTCACACCCAGACTCATACAGGGGTATTGCATTATCATTGTGTGTTCTAAAATGTTATACGTATATACTAAGTAAACGTATATTAAACTGGGCAGAAACTCAAGGGATACTGCCTGCGCAACAGCATGGCTTCCGAAGCAAACTATCCACTGAAACCACTGTCAAAGAGCTTAATATGCTAATAAGTAACACCTTAACTATTCCCAAATGCCCACTCTATGTGGCGTTTGTGGATTTTAAAAAGGCATTTGACAGCGTGGACAGGGGTAGGTTGCTTCGGAAGCTTTGTGAACTAGGATTGCATCCCAAGATTATGAAAGCGTTGTGGTCTCTACTGAGAGAGAATTACATTAAAATTTTAACAAATAATGTATTGAGTGAAGCAGTCGCACAGAGCATTGGCCTGGCCCAAGGTGAATGCCTATCACCCCTCGTGTGTTGAAGCTCCGGGCAACATCACTACTCTACTGTATGCTGATGATCTTGCCATATGTACGAGAGAAGTTGATCTGTTGCAAAAATCTATTAATTTGCTATCTAATTACTGCGAGAGCAATGGACTGACAATTAATATCAGTAAAACCACCCCATTATTCTACTGTCATCATATTCATATATGTAGGACTGGTGACTGTCCTTGTAAAATGCAATATGTGAGGGTTATATAATCCTAATCTGGCTTATGCCGTCCTGTATATTGTATATACAACCAGATTACAACAGTGTAATTACTATACTGGAACAGCTTCAAACGCCGGGAACCAGCGTAGATTTTTAAACCAATTTCTAAATACGCCATTTTGGAATTCATCCGAATTATGACTGTAAACACACGCATTTACAGGGTGTTTTGATTCAAAATAGTACGTATACAGGTATGTATATCATGTCTTTCTCTAAAATTTTAGACTTATATTAACTCTAATGCTTTAAAAAACATTAACGTTCAGTCAACCTAGGCCTATAGACCAAGGCCCCCGGCATATTGAATTTACCTTGAATTTACCTTGAACCATAGGACTTGAGAACTTAGCTCATTTGTCCCTCCATCGTCATTCGTACAAACTCTTCAGTTACGTACGGGCGAAACTTAAATTGGTGGTCAGACCAATATTTTGAAATACCCGATTTCAACTGATGGACAGTAGTAGAATCAACCACCCAACTGGGCAGGGCATTCCAATCATCAATTACTCTAACTGCATAAGAGTTTTTTTCTAATATTAAGCCTAAAACGAGGTTTACTTAATTTATATTTATGACCCCGGGTTTGCTTATATTCAAACTTCTGAAAGAGCTTCACTTCATCAATATTTTCTAATCTATTAACAATCTTAAATGTCTGTAAAACATCAGCCCTCTTCTTCCTAAATATCAGAGTAGGCAATTCCAAGGTCCTTAACCTCTCTTCATAACTCATGTCCCTAATTTCAGATACTAGTCTAGTAGAACGTTGCTGAACTTTATCTAAGCGGTCCTTGTCCTTTTGGTACAGAGGTATCCAAACACTACCACCATATTCCATAATAGG